TGCAAGTAAGTATTCCTGGTTGCTTGCCGACACATTTCCTATGTTAAGTGTTCGGACATATTTCAAAGATCAAAGTATTCACCAGCACTTTTAAGGTGGATTCTTTTGTAAGATTTGCACTGCAAAATGGCGCATTTCCTCCCAATCCGTCCTTTTAACACATGTTGCATTGGTGGGCAGGCCTTTGCAGAACTAAGCTGATCCTCTTCTGATGCATCCTCTTTTTCTTCGTTTAGCGCTCTGGAGGGGGGAAAGTCCAAGTGTTCGCAGTACTGGCCAGAGTCGTGTGGTGTGACGGAGGAGAAGAGTAACCTCCTTCGATCCGTCGATGTGACTCTCGACGACGAAAGACGCGCTGAGCATGTGATAACCCGATCGATGACTGTAAAACCGGATGGCGATTCCGACGTAAGTGCTCCGCTAGTCGTTTCTCACTTCAACCTCCTCCTCATGACAAACTGTCAGTTCACCTTCCTTTCTACTGTCTACTGGTAGGGATCCCTACCACCCGAGACTCGCGTTCAGGTTTCTTTACTGATATCCTATGCATTTTTATTACCTGATTAATAGCAGCCAACCAGAGCGAGGCAGTTCAAGGAAGTTCGTCGTGTACTTCAGTGCAATTTGGTGCAGGGATGGTGACTTGCATTGGATCATACTGAAAATATGCTAGCGTCGGATCTAACTCAATCTTTGTTCCACTTTGGAGAGGGCGCAGACGGCCGACGCGACCAGCTCCGCTCTTAAATGTGCCGCCACACCTGCCTTTCAACTTAGTTGAAAGTTGCTACTTTGATAACTAACGGTCATGCAGAGCATTTCGTCACGCCTTTGCTATCCTCATATGGACAAATATTCCTTTTGTTTTGATTCCCTCAATAGTCATGGAGCTTCAAGCAACTGCATTTTCTAAGTTGGGCCGATCACGCTGTACCTCCAATCGCCGAGTTGTATGACTTCCTCAAGAACTACGCCTATCTTCGGAAGCAAAAACCCCTGTCCAATGATTTTGGTCCAACTGTGGTCCACTGCAGGTAAGGGAATATCTGTGGTAGAGTTCAGGACAGTTCACTGAAGCATACTTTCTCCTTCATTTTATCTGAGGACTTTTATTTTCTCTTCATTTTCTGAAATAAGTTTTCGTTAATAGTGCCTCAGACGTTGATTATGGTCATGTCGAATATATCGAAGTCTA